TGGTTTGGGCTTCCCAATTTCTGGGGGCTGCTGCAATGCTGATCATATGTTAGTTATGTTTGACATAGATGTCCATATTCTGGCCCCTCAACCCTTAAATTCAAGTTTACTTTTCTAGAAGACACGAGTCTACCCGGGGTAATTCAAAGATAGTGTTCTTCCCTCCAAATAGAAGGACGGTGTGGCTACAAACCAAACAGAATGCTTGAAGTCCTCAAAGAAAAGCTTAGAATAGGGAACAACGAGCACTTTGGAAGCTTGCCAGCCAAGCTCTTAGAAATCTCCAAGAACATGCTCGATGCGGAGGTGATCAGGGCAACAGGTGCCGCAATGTGATATCTAAAATTTTCTCACCAAGACAAAAAATGAAAACATATCACACAAATCTGTAGAAACTTACAACACCTCAATGATATCTAACAGCATGCGAGGCATCTTTCCTCTAGGAGTAGAACGAAACGGTCAAAATGAGAGTGTCGCTATAAGACTGCTTCAGAGTAGAAGTAGAAGAAATATTTTGGTCGCAGAGATCAAGAATCAAATGGCTGAAAGAAATACGAAGTTTTTCTGAAATCAACTCCATATGTAAATTTAATAACATATACATTTCGAAACTCTCAAGAGGCTAGCTATGAGATTGGGCAGCTACAGAAGTGGTTGTCATTCGATATTTCCAGCAGTAAATCAAAGCAGAGGGGAGCACCAAACCATGCATAGACACCGTCCCTTTTACAATGCTCTATCATTGGAAAGTGTGAATTATCTTGAAAATTTGTTTGATTTGGAGGAGATTAAGTGTGCTATCTTCAGCCTGATCATACATTAATACATGACAAGTCGCCAATAACGTGGTCTTCCATGAGTTTGTAAACTGTTAAGGAGTTCTTGATGATGTTCCAAGTGTTTCATCAAAAGGCTAGAGTAAATGCTGCAATGAATGCTTCTGTCGTTGTTCTCGTGGCAAAAGAAGGAACTCCTCGAGTACATTGATGATATCAAACCAGTCAGCCTATTTGCAAAGACACAAAATACTAGCCAAATTTTTAGCTAAATTCTGCTTCTTGAGGTTATAACCCAACCAAAGCGTCATTCATAAAAGGAGAGGCATATCTTGAATAGGCCCAAATAGGACACGAGTACATCCATTCCATGTAAATACATAAAAAAAACCAGGGGTTATTTGTCAATGAGATATACAAAAGGCATATGTTGCAGTACATTCGGGCCGCTTATAAGAAATCATGAAGTTCATAGAATTGGAGAGTAAATGGTGCTACTGATCTTGGAATTTTTGTCAATGATACACTTATGAATATTAATTAGTCATAGTCTAAAGGGTTTCTTCAAGGTCTCCGAGGGAATATGACAAGGGGACCAGTCATCCGCTTCTTGTTCTCTATTGTTCTGAAGTCTCAGTAAGATAGTTTACGCAGCGCTTGATAGAGGGTTGTTGTCAGGTTGCTTGAGGAGTTTTTGGATCACCTTAAAATTGAAAATTTCTTGATCATGGTCAAAATACGGGATGCAAATTTGACTCGCAGAAAAATGAAAACACCAGTTAAGTTTTAGAAACCATGTTTAACCAAACAAGGGACCCTACAATCACTAGGAACTGAGACAGTTTATCAAACAAGGTGTTTTGTATATCCAAGTCTACCCCAAGGGCTATTTATCAATTAAAAAGTCTATCCCATGGGCTGGGATACCTCGAGTGCACTAATTTTTTATGTCCTTGAAGTAAACTGTATCCTTAGGGCACACTTTCACAATAGGGTATGTTAGGATCCTAGAGATCCTTGCATTCGTTGTTTGATTGAACTTGAGATTCTGGTAATCAGCCAATTTTAACAATTTATTGAACATTTAATTATTGAGAGGCTGATATTTGTTAAATAATAATGAGATTAAATCGTAGTCTATATATTATCTACTAACAAGATAGTTGGTTCATATCACCAAAATTGGATTTTTTTGCAATATATTATATTTGAATTATTTGTTTTCCTTTTATTGGTAAATTAGATTTCTTTAATAAAATGCTTGCTCAATTGCTCACTTAATAGTAACATAAATGTGATAGTAGTACATTTTTTTTTACATTTTTTATAAATTCCTAGTCATACAACTTGGTACAATTTCTCAAAGATCCTAATTCACATAACTTTGCTGGTACAACTTGGTTATGCGAATTTTTATAACTGAATTAGTTGGGAAAAGGCTCTAATGATGATTATGAATGGGAGATCGCAATTAAGAATAATTGATCAGAGACTCCTCATGGCACAATTGCAATTCCAACTCGCATAACTAACTAGTGTAACTGATGAGTGACATTCCAACTTAAATGCATAAACATGATCTCAACTCACACAAATGACTGGTGTAACTTATAGGTTACAGTCCGATTGACACAATGCCTCACATCAAATCTCTTATTGTTATATATTCTTTCTTCACAATTCAAGAGAATGTGATTCCCATCCACTTAACAGGGATCCCCAATTGCTCAATGGTGCAGTCTAATAGTGTTCAAAGATTATAACTTATCGAGGCGGCCATGATTTCAAGTAGTGCCTCAGAATTCCAGTATCCTCAATGCGCCTACATCTCTTAAAATTATATACCCTTTCTTCACAACTTGACAACTTTTTCATAGTTCATAAAAAGCAAAACGTAACTAAGATGAGAAAGTTGGCTAGGGCAGTCAAGAAACAACATACCTATAGAATACATATAGTTGCGATGAAGATGTTGAGATGAACAAGTGGCAAGACAAAAAGGGATAGATTTCGAAATGAATACATTCAAGAGAATTTAGGTGTGGCACTAATAGGCGATAAGATGAGAAAAAATAGACTTAAGTGGGCTGGCTATTCTGTGCATACCCAGTATAACACCTGTTAGGAGGTGCAAGTTAGTTCAAGTATAAAGCTAAAAAAGGCAAGGCATAAGCTCAAAAGGACATCGTTAAAAGTAGTGCAAAAAGATATTGAGACTTATGGCCTTGTTGAGGGTATGACCCTTAATACAGCAAAATGTTAGACCATGATTCATGTAGCCGACTCCAATGAGTTGAAAAAAGACTTTGATGATGTTGATGATGCATATATATTTGTTGACAAAAGAAAATTAGTAGGAAAGCTTCCACTTGAAAGAGACTAAATTCCGCAGAAAACCATAAAAATGCATTAACAAAAAAAATCAAAAAGGTATCAAAAGGCCACATTGAGCTGGAGTTTGAAATGAATAAATGGAAATTGTAAAATCTATAATGCACACTCAACAACGCTTGGAACTTAAAGCCCTTCTTAGTTCCTCATCAGTGTCACGCTTATCTGTGAAGCAAAATTCACCACCAAAAACTCAAATTTTCTCCCTTCAAATCCATCTCCTTATAAACTTCAATCTATCAAGGTAAATTCACCTAAAGAACCATCAAATTCTTTTCTTTTATATGAAAAACATCAAATTCCTACCCCAAAAACTATACGAGATGGCAGATTACGACCTCCATATGAACTCCAATCTATCACAATAAAAAACCCATATCCAAGCACAACACTAATGGCTCCACCAACACCAATTGAAAACAACAATATCCAGGGTTTCTTCTCCTAATTATGGCAGAAATTGAGGTTTACTCGCCCTCCCTAAACTTGGCCAATGTGGAGGTTAGCTTTCCCAAATCACACCATGAACCCTAGAACTGAAACCCCGGTTCATGGTTGATCACTGCACAGCTACTCCTGGTCAGATGAGCAAGCATCCAAATATGACCCATATGTACAGCATAAACAACAGCAGCAAGAACACCAAGATGAGGATGAAGATATTAAGGACAGAGGAGAAATAAACTAGATTTTGCTAGTTATGAGCAAGGAATTTTTTCTGAACATAAAGTGCTCAAACAAAGAACCAGTCTTGATGGCTTTGAGGTGCAGAATCAGGAGATGATTCCTCTTCAAAACTTTAAACCAGACAGGAGCTAACAAACTTAAGGGAAGCAAGATGTGAGATCACTGCAGGATGAGAGAGAGAGAGATATCCCTGCAGGATGAGAGAGAGAGAGAGAGAGAGAGAGAGAGATAGAGAGAGAGAGAGAGAGAGGAGGTACGGAGTACGTAGTAGTACGAGTAGAGACGAGAGAGAGAGTGTGTAGTACGCCTACACTACGTACGTTAGTAAGTAAAGTAAAAGTAAGAATACGACGTACTTTAC